AACGGTTGGCAGGAAGGTTGACATTTTAAACCTTAATTAAAAATCGATACAGGGCTTTAGAATATCGAAACAGTATCGGGAAATGAAATATCGCGATATTTCAGTGTATCGATATTTTCTCACACCCCTAACCTACAGCGGGTCAATTAGTTCTTCAAATGTTACCGTTAAGTTAATTTTATAGTTTTGTGATAATAATAATGCTAATGTATTGATAATTTTCTAGTTTTGATTTAAGTTTGCGTGTTTAGCGTCGTCACAGTTGCTAGGTGACAAGACGTACGCCGGAGTAAGGAGGGGAGGCTAGACCATCCAAATACACAGCCTCTTTTTTTCCGGTCTTCCCGGTCTACCAAGGACCCGGCCCGCTGCGACCGGGGAGTCTGGGTCCTCCGGAGGAACCGGCCTGTCCTTTTGGACACAGCCTGTGTATGATATGCTCCCTCTTGCAAACTCCAGTTAGCAGACGATCTGCAGCGTTTTGAATGAACTGAAGGCGTCTGAGGGAGGTCTGACTGACTCCGAGGTAAAGAGCGTTACAGTAATCAAGCCATGACTGTATAGGGTTGGGCATAATTGTATCGTGTGCAATTAATCGTCAGAAAAACATTAATCAATTATTTTTTGGCACTTGATGATTAATACGATTAATGCAACCAGACAGACTGACTGGAGATTTCCCCAGTCGGTCCGCTCGGTGCTCCTCTCCGCTTCAAATTTGATGAAAATTTTTTTAAAAATCTGTAATTTATTTATCTATCAACACAATTTAAAACGTGATGATAGCCTGAAGTCTGTAATTTTGACAATTTGGAACAGTTTTTTATGAAGAGCAAATCTTTCCCACTACATTGGTCATGTGACCAGGACATAAGGGTGTCCAGGGACTCCAGGGGATTAATCGTCAAATTAATTGTTATCGGCTAAATACCACAATTAATCATGATTGTTTATTTCCCAATATCGCCCAACCCTACCATGACGTAACAAAAGCATGAATTACTGTTTCAAAAAGTTGTTTCAAAAGAAACGGTTTTACCTTTGCAGCTGCCTGAGATAATAAAAACTGGCCTTAACTACCGTTCCAATCTGGGAATCCAATCACTGTCCATTTTAAAAGCCAAGTTACAAACTGTCTGTTTTACATGCAGCGCCAGGGGACCCAGATCAACAGGGGGAGGTTCACAAGAGCCACTGGGACCAAACTCTATCAATTCTGTTTTTTCTCAATAAAATGTAAAAAGTTTGAAGACATTCAGGCTTTGATGTCTTCAAGACACAACAGAAGTGGCCTAATTGAAAAGACATCTTTCTTTCTCAGTGGCATATTTATCTGACTATCATCAGCATAGCAATGACAAAAGATCCCATGCTTCCTGAGTAAAGAACCCAGAGGAAGGAGGTAAAGAGAAAAAAGCAGGGGACCTAAGATCGAACCCTGGGGAACCCCAAAAGACAGAGGAGCAGTGGAGGAATCAGAACCAGCTATGTTGACATACATGGTTCTGTCAGTCAGATATGATCTAAACCAGTTCAGTGCGGTACCACAGAAACCTGCCTGGTGCTCAAGATGTGAAATCAGAATGTTGTGATCGACTGGAAGCAGCGGTTAGGTCGAGCAGGACAAGAACCACATGTTCACCAGAATCATTAGCCATGACGATGTCATTAAAAACTCCTACTTCAGCAGATTCTGTGCTGTGCCTAGTTTTAAAGCCGGACTGAAAAACCTCCATTATGTTTGTTCAAAAAAGGCTTGATCTGGGACAGTAAAAGCAGAAAGATTGTCAAGTCTCGTGCAATCAATGTCCCACATTTATCATTTATAATTTGTCATCAGAAATGTAGCCAAAGTTTGCATCAGAACATTCTGCAGTGTGCATTGTTAAACTGACAACATGACAAACTAATGTGACTGTCTTACCCGTTCATACTGACACACGTCTGATGGCACTGACACAAATTTGGTTTTGAGAGAAGAACTAAGGATTTACTAAGAAACGGTGTTTCGCTATTTGAACACGTCGTTTTCAGAATATCGCTTTATGTTTTGAAAATTTCAAAACAGATTTGAGAAACGCAACAAAGACAAAACCTGTAATGAAGCTAACTGTCAAAGTTGATCTTACCTTTCCCACTCTGACGCGGTGGTAAAATCTGTGATCTCAAACACCTCGGACTCGGGCTGCAGAGGGAGTAATGTGTTGTTTTATCAGAAATTATTTGTCATTTCGTAGAAAAAACACTCGTTTTAAATATGACAAGTTATGTTTTTTACAGTAATACGAAAAAAAACTCACATCATCGTCAGCTGGCATATTTATATAGCTTCTTCTTCTTCTTCTTCTTCTTCTTCTTCTTCTTCTTCTTCTTCTTCTTCTTCTTCTTCTTCTTCTTCTTCTTCT